GTGCCACGTTTCCCAAGCCCCGAACCCTACACAAGTTGACAGCTCTTAGCTGTAATCCTAAACTGCTCGGGTTCTACACCTCAGCAGATCTACCTACTTGGAGAAGTATGGGACTTAGTAAGTCAGGTCATAAGTACCTTAATTGGGGTTATAAGTAGTCATCAGCATTGTTACCCTAATTCTAGCCCGAGTCGCTAAGTCACATGATCGTTTAAGTAACCACCCCATCCCCTCAGACGTGCCGCTCGGAGGCCGCAAAAGCTGAAGCGAGTCACAAAGTCAAACAACAACCCTAAGCCCTAAACGGGCTTAGGATGTACCAGAATCCAGCACCCCAAAGAACCTACATGGGAGTTTCCGAAAAGAGGGGGCCCTAATATAGTACCCTGAAGAGGAGGATCCTTATAAGAACCTCAAATAGGGTACCTCCTCATCTCGGAAACTCCCATAGTGTTGAGGGCTTAAGGTGCGGTTTAGCTGAGCCGGAAGAGCGACCGGAGGTCTGCTCACCGCAGAGAGCTCAATGCTTCAAGGATTGACCTTGAGAGAGAGGCCGGGAACCTCCGGAATTTTCATAGCCTCAAGTATGGGATCCCTCTAAGGGTACCATAGTGACTGTAGTGGTGAATCTTGAGCTTTGGGGCCTGAGGGTTTAAGGTTATTGATCTGTGGTTTATGGTTGAGGTGTGCGGTTAGGGTTCTGGGTTCTAGGGTAGAGGGATTGATGGTTTAGGATTATGACCCAGGCTAGGGTTGTGAGCTCTCTAGTAAACTCCATGATGCTGCTTCGGGGGCTATCAGGGGACGATTGTGACAGCACTGTAGATGTGGGATGAGCATTTTGCAATGGTCCCAGCAATCGGAGCAGTTTCTTGGAAGCGCGAACTTATGTATCAGCTCTTACTCGGGGATATCCCCAAGCGGGCTTGGAGATCTTTACTGTGAACATCCCCACAGAAGTCTCATAGCTGGTGCGTGCCAAAATCATGTCTGGGGCGCCCGAAATCAAATGGAAACCAAAGCAAGTTGCTACGAGGTATCCCCTACCGTACCTTAAGGGGCTTACCCTAAGGCCCCATAGTAGCTCCTCGTTGGGATTGCCTTATAGGATCCTTAATACGAACCACAAAAAGAAACTACTATGGGGCCTTATGGGTCTTAGAGCAACAAGGCGATCTCTTGCGAAATATCCCCAACACGAAGGGTCCTAGGTATATACTGTGATGGGGGATACTTCCCGAAATCAGAATATGAGTTCCTAATATAGAAACCCTTACATATTACCATATTAGGGTGGTTGTCAAAATTATGGCCCCCTAATTGGCTACCCTAAATATTAGGTGCCGTATTATAATAAGGACCCAACAGCGGACCTTAATTTTGACAACCACACCCTAAACCCAAAACCCTAAACCCTAACCCCCAAACCCTAAACCCCTAAACCCAAAACCCTAACCCTAAACCAATTACCCTTTGAGCCGGCTCTGGGCGGTTTTCCGGCTCCCGAAACTCCTGTGACAGTACGTGGACACGATGGCATCAAAGCTCTCCACGCAACGCTCGGGTGCTCTCGCGACGCATGGGACTGAGAGGTTGCGGGTTGTTGCCGAGTTGAAGGGCGTTCAGCACGAACGTTTAGGGTGTTTTTGTTCAGTTGGATAGTTGTCAAAATTGTGGGTTTTTTTGGATACCCTAATATTAGGTGCTGTTTTATATTAATTATATTAAGTTGTTTTTTGTTGGGATACCCTAATATTAGGTGCTGTATTATATTAAGGACCCAAAAAGGGGACCCTAATTTTGACAACCACCCAGTTGAGGAGGTGGGGATGCTTGGGTTGATGCTGGATCTTCAATCACCTGTGGCAGAGTTTCGGGGGTTTAGGGTTCCTTTAAAGGGATCCATAAGGGCGCCTTAAAGGGATCTATAAGAGTTCTATAGTGGCAGAACTATCCTAAGGCCCCTAAGTAGTTCCTTTTTGGGGTTCATGTTTAGAATCCTAACTCCCCAAAAAGGAACTACTTTGGGGCCCATGGGTATGGTTGAAGCCCGAAAGTTGGAAACCCAATAGCCTCAATCCTTAAGAGTAAGGTATATGGAATCCCAGCACTATTTGGCCTTAATCCGGCTTCCAACTTTTCGGGGTTTACTGTAGGGCTACACCCTGAACCCTAAACCCTAAACCTAAACCCTAAACCCTATACCCTAAACCCTAAAACCTACTAAACTATAGACGCTCTAAGTTTGACCTGTGCTGAGCCGCGCGAGCTGGAACAGAAGCTCAAGCTCACCAGGTCGTGGATCAGGTGGAGACGAAGTAACATAGGGGCTTCAATAATTACCTAATTATACTATTTTGGGGGTTCCTTTTGATATTTTTAGCATACTTGGCCTCGAAACCCTATTCTAATGATGAAGGTCCCTATACTCAGTGCTAAAGGATGCGTCGGGGACACGCAGCTGCCACTGGAGTGGCTTCTGGCGGTTTTTCTGCCTTCCTACATTGTCCTGTGAGATGTCTGTGGGGTTCGGAAAGAAAGGGAGCCCGCTTGCACAAATTGCCGCACTTCGGCTCTACCGACAGTGACCACAACAGAATGCCACTATCCGCACGATTGACGTCGCTTGGGGACTCCGGCATGGACCCTGTTTTGCGGGTACGTTATACACTTGGTTGGCAATTCAGTTTTTTTAAATGATCAGGTGTTGGATGTTGTTAGACGCGAGAGGCATAATATCAAGTGTATCACTGCATCACCAAAGGCACCCTCACAGCATCAGTCGAAGAAGCAGTGTGAGTTTGACTATAGAGCCCGGGGGTTTGGCAGATGCCCCATAGATTTCAGAAGCACCTTGATTCGGGAACACACCTTAAATTGTAGAGAGATCTTGTATTTGGAGTTAAGGTTGCTCCCTCGTTAGGGGTTTTGGAGTCTCGGAATCTGAACCTTGGCCAGAAGAGCCCAGAAAGGGCTCGGCTCTCATTTTTTGGTTCGGGCCTACACCGTAAAGTTATACAATGTTTACTAGGACCAGCCCCCTTATGGTTCAGTGTGCAGTAGAGGAACAACCCAAAATTGATCAATGAACGGGTGTATCGTTCCGGTTGCGGTTCGAGACCAACAGTTTCATCGGCAGGAGCCCTAGATAGGGGTGTGGACATATGGGATTTTCCGAAAATAGGGGTACCTTATACTGGGGGTCTCCATAATGAGGATCCTACTATGTGGGGTACTATATTAGGGTCCCCTATTTTCGGAATCTCCCATATCGATTACCTTGAGTGAGGGTCTAAGTACAGTACCTCATAATCATATACCCTCCCTAGTCTCCCAAGGAGTAACCCAGAGAATCCAATACCCCTTAAATAAGGAATATACCTTAAATCATATTATTAAGGCCTCTATGGTTTAAGGTATATTGCTTATTTAAGGGGTATTGGGTTCTCTGGGCAGCAACCCTAAACCCTTTTAGGTTGAATTGCCGGCCTGGGCAGCTCCGAGGGAATGCCACTGACTCAGACAGAGACCGCTCGTTCTACTTAAAGGATCATCGGACCTAGTAACTTTAGGGTTCCTGTTGAGGGTTCTATAACTTGGAGTGTATAGGGATGTTTAGGGTTTACGGTCCCCCGGGTTTACGGCTACTTTGCGTGCACATGTGAAAGGAACCTTGAGCCGGAAAGCCTAACCCCTAAACCGGGCTGAGGGTAGACGAAAATCCGATACAAGAAACCCTGTCAAATCCCAAAGCGCGAAGCCCACAAACCCCAAACCCTAAACCGTAGACCTCAGGCCTTACAAACCCTAAACCCTAAGATCCTGAAACTTGGCACCGCAGTCGCAGAGTCTGCGTAAAACAACTGTCGTCATTGCCGCTGCTTTGCAGAGCAAGGAAACATGTTCACGCAATGGGAGAGCTGCATCAGCGAGCACGCTTCTGCGGATGTTCGGCTTAAGATTATGAGGCAGACGGTGCTGCATCTAAATCATGCAGGATGATGCACATGATCGCGCCGCACAACAGCAGCTAGCTGGTATGTGGCACAAAGTTTTACGTGCGTTCGATGGGAATGCTCAGTTAGGGCCGACTAGCTGACAAAAGCACCGAGATCCTGAAGGTCATACAGCCTGAGGACTTGCATCTAGATTTGGGACATGCGCCTTCGGACTACATCTTAAACCCCAACCCATGAAACTCCGAGCTCTATAGATAAACAAAGCCTTGGACGCCCTCTATAGGTTTCTCGGGTGTGGATGCTCGAGCATTAAGGAACCGGGGCCTGCTAGAGCAGGTAGCTGGGGTTCTGTAGCACACCCAATAAAAGCCTCAACCCTTTAAGCCCTATCCTCTAAGCCAGAAAGTTGGAACATGATTATCCTAAACCCTTTATGGTAAATTATAGGGTATCCTACCATGAAACCATATTCCAACTTTCTGGAGTTCCCTATAAAAGCCCTAATGTACCCCAACAGCCTACATACTCTGGCCCCTGCATTGAGCCCCAGGGGCCGGTCCATCGACCTTAGATACAGATACGGTTTAGGGGTTTAGCGGTTTTTGGGGTTCAGGGGTTTCGGCTGTAGGGTTTAGGGTTCAGAGCTTCAGGGGCTCTAGGTTTTTTTTGCAGTTTGAGTTCTTGTGGGTTCAATGGTTGTGTTTCTGCACTTTAGGCTTAGGGCTTTGGTCTCGGGGATTAGGTCTTTAGGTTTGGATGCTTTATGGTGTTGACGTTGTAGGTTTTTCAGGATTTAGGGTTTTGCGGGGTTTAGGGATTAATAAAGGCTTTCGGGCTTTGAGATTCAAAGCCTTAGCACGCGCACCGAGCTGGAAGGACTCAAGCTTTGTGTAGGGCCTGGCTTTTTGGCCAGAAGGCTCTGCTAAGTGTGGCTTCTGGGCTAGTTCGAGGCTAAAGGTTTTCAATAGGAGCCTAGCTAAGTTTCCGTTACTATCCCTGAGGGTTGCTAGACCATATCCCAAAACCATCCGATGACCTCACTCATGAGCCCTGTTGCTTCAGAACAGCCAAAACCCTTGGGAAAGCAAGTCGATACTGAGGCTGAGGCTTGTGGCGTAGGGTTCTGATCCTTTGCCGACAAGCGTACTTGCCTATTCTCTAAACCCTAAACCCTAAACCCTAAACCCTATAAACCCTATAAACCCTAAACCCTAAACCCTAAACCCTAAACCCTATAAACCCTATAAACCCTAAACCCTAAACCCTAAACCCTATAAACCCTATAAACCCTAAACCCTAAACCCTATAAACCCTAATCCCCAAACCCTAAACCCTAAACCCTAAACCCTAATCCCCAAACCCTAAACCCTAAACCCTAAACCCTGTCTTCTCCAAAATGTTGGGGAGTCCCCGGCCAAGCCATGGACTCCCATAACCCTAGGCTCTGGTGGAAACCCCTATCCGAAATACCCGCTATCACTGAGGCTCGCATGTGTGTAGTCTGAGGTTCTGAATATTGAGTAAGAGAACGCCTGTATAAATTTTGACGCTCTCCTTATCTATCTGCATATCTGTCTGTTTGCCTATGTTCTAAGCTGTATCTATGCGTCTATCCTCCTTTCTTTTTCTCTATCCATCCATCGACCTATCTCTATCTACACAAACAGAATAACATACCCCAAACCGTATCCTTATGTACAAGTATAAAGTTCAAGACCCCCCATGTTACTTTGGGGTTGTAACCCCATTGATTTGAGGCAGCTGGTATCCTTCCATCACCGCGCATGGCGAATGAAAAGCAGAGGCAGCCCACCATGGATTGGGTTTAGGGTTCAGGGCATAGGCTTGAGGGTTGAGGGTCGCGGTGGATTGAGGGTTGAGGAGGTTTGAGGTTGACTGTATTCAATCTACATGATTAGCCCTTCCAGCTTTCAAGACCGATGTAGTAGACGAACAGGCCAGTAGGATTCGAAGTACAAACATGGCGTGAACCGCAGTGTGCAACTCTGGCAGCAGCCGTGATTGTTATATGAAGCTGCTGGTAATTGCTCGACGGTGGTGGTCTGTAGTAAGAATATGATGATACATATGATGCTAGAGATTGTCGTGGTCACTTTCCTTAGGTTCAAGGTGGCGGGGTCATGATGATGACGATGACGATATCGAAGATGATGATAATGATGATGACGACGGTGATGACGATGCTCACCGGCATGTTAAGGATGGGCATTCGTCATCAAGATCATCACCATCATCATCATCATTAGCACCTTCAACATCATAGTCGTCATCAATATCATCACCATCATCATTAGCACCGTCATCACCATCATCATCATCATATCCATCATCATCATATCCATCATCATCATATCCATCATCATGCTCGCCTCGCCATTATGTCGCACTTTCAGGAGTTGAGCACTACGGGCGCAGTGTTATAAAGTAACCTTGAACTACCAAAACCTAGTTTTTGTAGGTCCATAAGTCCTGTATTAGGGTGCATACGAAAAAGTAGGTTATGGTAGTTGAAGGATGGCGCTAGTCACTAATGATACTCCTGTTTAACCTGTTGGTATGCTCACCAAACACCAACATAGACACCTCTGCATCTTTCTCAATGAGAATGCCTGTAAATCCCTTTGACCTCTTTAACAACGCGTAGAATCCATACTGTTGATGGACAAAATCCTGCATTATCCATCATAAGGATTATACCATAATTCCCATAGTCTAGGGTCTTTAAGGTCATGCTGGATTTTGTCCATCAACAGTACTTCAAGATGTGTCTTGCGGAGGATCTGCTACTGCTACGGCAGTCCGGTGGGGAACTGAGTTGCGGAGCAGGGAAATTGGCTTTGGGGTTTTGGGTCTTAATGGTTCAGGGGACGGTAGCATGAGCAGCTACAGTTGCATCGTCGTGTTGTGTGTTTTGCGTGTTGTTTGATGGTGTGTCGTTGTGTGTGGGTGTGTGTTGTTGTGGGAAGTGGAGACAGTTTGCTACAGCATGGTAGTTGTTTTGTTGTGGTCTTGTGCACTGTCTGGGGTGTGTATTGCTGCTGTTCCGTGTTTGTTGAAGAGGGCATGAAGGGTATGTACAGACGGAGTGAGTGGGGGTTAGGTTCACTGAATTAGAGTCCAAGGACTGCAGCCTGACATGCTTTAAAGCCGCACCCTAAATCCAGTCCTTTAGTATCGCACTCTAAACTCTAAACCCCAATCCCCCGCAAGATCCTTCTTATAGTACCTTTGGAAAAGAGTTTGAGGAAGCCTACGCGGGCAGGCCTTTGGGACATTTCTTAACAGGATCTTATTTACTAATATGGGTGGTTGTCAAAATTATGGTCCCTTTTTGGGTCCCTATTATAGTACGGCACCTATTTTTTAGGGTGCCCAAAAAGGGACCCTAATTTCGACAACCACCCACAAATATGTTCAAACAGCTACAAACGAGCCGAGGACTCGCCGTGTGACAACCACATTCCCTTTCGCGAGGAGAGCGAAAAAGTCGCCAAGGGCTCAGCCGATTCAGGGTTTAGTGGTTCTTTTCAAGGCATCCATTACAGGTGTCTACAAGGGTTACGACCAGGGATATTCTAGGTGTTTGGTCTTTAGTATTCCGGGTTAGCCTGAAATGTGGACATTGCTTTGGGGCCCGGGGTTCGAACTGTTACTGTTCAGGGCTTAGGGTTTAGATGACGGAGGGTCGCTGAAGGCGTGTTCCGGAGGTCAGGTGGCTCGTTCTGCAGCCCAGGTTTGGGGTTGAGGGCCTTTTTCTTTGTGTTGTCTACATTACTTGATACAGACGCCTATAGTGACCCTAGGTACTTAAGTTCTGGGTTCTTTTCCGGGGTTCAGTTTCGCGTTGTTCGGGATTCTTTAAAGACTCCTGAAATGGTTTCTATGTTCTTACGGGGCATCAGGAGCGTAATTGCTGCTGAGCTAGTTTCCATGCATTCAATGTCAAAACGCCGTGTTAAACTATGATATGAGGAAGTCGGTGTAGGAAAGGCCTTGAAGGCACCAAAGTGTCTCCTCCCCCGCCCCGGGGCTCAGACACACAAAGCCCACTAAAGCCTAACTGACGCGTTAGGGTTCAGGGTGTCAGGATCAAAAACCCCAAAGCCCCCAACCCTAAACCCTAAACCCTAAACCCTAAACCCTAAACCCCAACCCTAAACCTAAAACCTGCGCAGGTTGTTTTCCCATACCATGCCTCTGCCGGCATGCATTTCTCGCAGGCTCGGATTACGGGTTAGTGTCAACGCCTGAATCCCACAAGGCGATACAGGAGGTACAGTATAACCCAAAGGGTCCAAGTATCATTATGGTATATACTTATAGGCTATTTTGGGGGTCTAAGTATGTACCAGAATGATACTTGGACCCTTTGGGTAAGTAGGGTATGCTCGGATATTATGATAACAGTACCATACGGGTAGCATAGTAATATGTAAACTGAAAGAAATCCATCCCCGCAGACTGATAAGACCAAAACCCTGAACACCAACCTAGACTGGCCGAACCACCCTCCATTATAGCCTCCTCGGTTGAGGATCAGAATAGCTTCACTGCATTGTAATTACCTGGAGGTCCAGGTTATCAGGGTGCAGGATGTTGAAGAGGCGTGTACCATGTCACTACATGTAACATAAGAGATCAGTGTGAAGTCCATCACTCCCAATCATCACATGGCCATTCAAGGTACGATAGGCCGAATGATCAGGCTACTTTGCACACATCGTTTCTTAAGTATCGCCACCGCTATCATCATCGCCGGTGGTTCTGCTGCATCAGCCTCACGCACCCAACAAGAGAGCTATGTACCAGAGTGCATTGCAGACAGGCGCTCTGGAAGGTATCGTCATTCCAGGTAAAAATGCCTCCTCGTCTCGAAGTCCCCAAGCCTTAAAGTCTTAAGGTAAAAGCCAGAAAGTTGGAATATGATTATCCTTACCCTTCTATGGTAAATTATAGGGTATCCTACCATGAAACCATATTCCAACTTTCTGGAGTTCCCTTTAAAGCCAATCCATCATCTGGAAAACCCCCAAGCCTGCACAACCCCCGAAGAGTCAACCGTAGTGCCTCGACGTGCACAGTCCCCAGGCCCCAACAATCAAAGGGGAAAAGGAGCTTATTCAGGACCCCTAGGTATATACCCTTTTTATAACCATTATATACCCATGATATAGCCCATTATAGGGTAGGGGTCCCCATTAAGGGTCCCTCCTTTCCCCTAAACCCCCTAAACCCCCTAAACCCCCAAACCCCTGAACCCTAAACCCTATACCCTCATAGAATCCTTATAGAGCCCTTTAAAGGGACCCTTAAAAGGGCGCCCCAAGCCGTAAACCCGGAAAGGCTTTTCTCCGACCTTTGGAGCCTCCGATTGCCCAGAGGATCTACATATGGGAGTTTCCGAAAATAGGGGACCCGAAGGGTTCCTTTACAGGGTACCTAAGGGCTCCTTTAAAGGATCTATAGTGTTTTTAGAGTTTAAAGTTTAGTGTTTGGGAGTTTCCGAAGATAGGGAACCCTAATATAATACCCTAAGTAGTAGAATCCTGACTATAAGGGCCCCAAAATAAGGTACCACCAATTTTCGGAAGCTCCCATATACTTATTTCAGTTATGAAATTATCTAGGTTCCTAAATCCATAATACGAGTGGCAATGCTCTTTCCGGTTCTAATTCCATAATGGTAGTGTATGTGGAGCCTCTAGGTTACATACCTCAGCACTGAAGACTACAGTCCAGATCATACCCAAACCCTGCCATGACTTTATCTCAGCAGCATACAGCCTTTACAGTCCAGCTACCATGGAGGTTCCGGGTAGCCCGTAAACCCAAGAGCCCAAACCATTAAAGCAACGAATGTAAGACGGCACCATAATCTCGTCAATCATCACCCGAAAATGTGACAACTAAGCACCAAGAAATCCTAGTCATAAACTATAACAGACTCATACACAACCACCCCACCTTCCATCCCAACCAAAACGGCACGCACAGAAACACCCACAAAACACCAAACCCTTAACAGCTAAACCCTAACCCCTAAACCCCTAAGCCCTTAAACACCACAAAAACACGCAGCCACCAGGCGGCTGCGCAGGAGCCGCCCAGCCAACCAAGCCAGGGGCTTGCACATTGGGAAGTCTTCCAGATTAGGGCTCCCTTTTCTTGGGTTAGGGTTTAGGGGTTAGCGTTCAGGGGTTAGGGTTTAGGGGTTAGGGTTTAGGGGTTAGGGTTTAGGCGTTAGGGTTTAGTCTAAGAGTCTTACAACCCTCCCCGGCAGCCCTCCCCATCCAAAACACCTTTATCAACAGTATATGATCACTATCTCGGGACTATCCAGGGTAATGATGGGACTATATAGCCTTATCAAGGGACAGGATAATTACAGGCCTGTCGGCTCAGAGCCGGCTCAGGCTGACAATGGCGTTAGAAGAGTACTGTTTCCCTTGCGAGCACTGCCTGGAACCCGGAGACTGTCGTGCCGCAGACAGGGCAGGTGGTTTGCGGCATTAACCCCTTTCTGAATGCATGCCTTCCTCACAGCGTGACAAGGACCTCGTTTGCAGCCCGAAAGTTCTGCGCCCCAAACCACCCCTACCCCACCACAGAGACACCCCTCCCCACACCCCTCTCGCTGCACACCAAAACCCCCAAACCACCCCACCCGCCACCAAACCCCCAAACCCAGCCCTAGTTGGGGATATCGCAACCCCCCCCGCAATCCCCGCTATTCCGTTGCTATATCGGGCTGTGTTGTGACTATATCGGGCTTTCCCGGCTAGGCCAAAACCCGCTGTACAAGAGCAGTCATCGAATGTTTGGAACGAAAACATGCAGCCCACGCTCCCGCTCTGTCTCTCTCTCTGACAATAAGCCGAAGCCGGTCCCGATCGACACCTCAAAGGTTGAACAGAATATCAAACCAGAGCATGTGGCGGCCATGTCGTTAGAGTCTACGTGCGCAGAGTGCTCCAAAAGATCGGCCATGCAAGTGTCTGCAAGAATCGTTCTTTCCGGGATAGCCCCGGAACAACATCAGAATAAGCCGGAAACCGGGGAGTGTTGCAGGGGAGGGTTGCAAGAGTCTTAGATTTAGGGGTTAGGGTTCAGGGTCTGGGGTTTAGGGTTCAGGCATCGTCTTGCCTTGCAGATCTTCTAGGCGTCGTTGGTTAGGGTTGGGGAATGGTGACAGCCTGGTGGAAAGCTCATAAAGTCTATTCAGGTTCAGGATTTTTCAGCTTCAGGATTTGCTTAGTCTTGTTTGTCATTCTTGTTTGTTGGCGGGCTCACGCACCGTTTGGGGTTTGGGGCTTTGGTTAGGGGCTTTGGGCCTCTGTGGTTTAGGGTTTAGCGTCTAGTGTTTCAGGGCTTTGGGTGTTCTTCGTCATACTGTTTCGGATGTCTCGCGTGGGGTGCTGAGACCCGTCCGTGCCTGTTTTTGTTTAATCATCGGCCGTGCAATTGCCTACTACGCAAGCCCAAAATCTCAGGAGGGTGTTTCTCGCCTTGAGTCGCGGGGTTGCGGCTTGGGACTAAGCCTTTTTTCGTTGGCAGAAATTTAAAAATATGCTATCCAGGCACCCTTTATGCCGTGAGAACCAGCCCTAGCAGCCCCAAACCATGGACCTGAAGCCCCCCTGGCCTCAGACCCTTCAATAAATACTGCAAGCCCATAAACCCTATAGACCCTGCATATACGCATCATCCCCTAAGCCCAGAACACCCAAAACGTAGACCCATGTCGTAAGCCCGGAAGCCTAAACCCGACATATGCTCCATCCCAAAACGCAGAACGGGTAATCGCAAACCCTAAGCCCTAAACCAAAAGAACCCGAACACGAAGCCCTAAACCCTTGAACCCTAAACCGTTTAACCAATCCGGTCCCAAGCTTTCCCAGGTCAAGTCTCGCCGCTGTCTCCTCATGAAGGGACCTCAGTAGAAAGCGGTATTCTTATGTCTTGTTCGTTTCGGGGATGTGCTTACCTTCGCTGTTCCCAAAGGGTCCAAAGTACCGATATAGTAGAATGTAGGGTTTCTATATTAGGAATTACTATTATGATTTGGGGAGGTATTCCCCATAACAGTACATAGGACCCTTTGGGGTTGTTGTCTATTAAAAGTTGTTTGTCGTGTTTTGCAGCTGGAACTCCGTCTCCGTCTCCGTGGGGTGGGGATCTCCGGCTGTCTGGCTTCCTGGTTTCTTCTTTCTTGGTTATTTCATAAAGGAATCTAGCTTAACTCATAATATGAAGCCTTATATAAACTTAATCCATATTCCTAATTTAGGGGTATATATGGTGCAGTGGTTTCTTCTTTCTTTGTTATTTGAGGTGTAGCAATCACCGGGTTGATGCCTGCCGTTTGGGCCGAGAGTGCTTGTGGCTTCTACTGGCTTTGTGCCGTCATGGCTTTCCGGCAGGCTTCTTGTCTTTGGAGCTTCTTGGCACCGTGGCTTCTCGGCCCCCTAAACCCTAAACTTTACAGCTTGAACCCCTAGACCCCTAGCAGCTAAACCTGCTTTGCTTGGCTTGAAGTTTTCACTTTCGGTTTCTGACTTTCTCGTCCCTTTCCTTTTGGGTCTCCTTCGGTGTCTTAGGGTTTAGTGGTCTAGGGTTTAGGGCATAATGCGTGCCCGAATGCTAGAGTACTGCTATATGCCGCAACGGCACACGCTACATGATACAGAACAATTATGCAGTTTTAACACAGATTTGCCAAGAAGATAAACACATACGTATGCCTGTGTGCATACACAGACATATGACTGTATGTACGTGCGTATGAATGTATAGGTAGGTAAGTAGGTAGGTAGGTAGGTAGGTCGGTAAATGGGTGTGCGTATATATAAAAACAGATAAAATCATATGTATATATATATATATAGATTTATACATATACATATACATATACATATACATACATACATACATACTGTAATATATTATATTATATTATGTGTTATGTGTTAAACGGCTCGAGGCCTGAACTTGACCGCTGTGTTTGTGCTTCTGTTTTATATTATGTAATATGTAACATATATATATATATATATATAACATGTTATATTGTGTGTATATATATATATATCTAGACGTATATATATATATATATATGTATGTATGTATGTATGTATGTATGTATGTATGTATGTATGTATGATATTCTATATCATAAATAAGCCATATATATATATATATATATATATATTTATTTATTTATTTATATGTTGTACGATCGTACTGGTCTGGCTTTGGGGGCTTTGTTGTTACGCTTAGGAGTGTGATTGAGGTTCCTTCAGGGTCCAAGCGCCCAAAGCAAAGGACAAACAAGAATAGTACCAGAAACCCTCTAGTGTATGGTATGTGGCGACCTAAAACCCTGCTATATGTTTAAGTCTTTGGACCTTTTTCGGGGGAAGGTACCCAGTACGAACCCTCTACGCTGCACCTGGGTCCAGAGAAGACTCGGATAGCCAATAGAACGGACAGTCCCCAGCACTTCAAAAATCGCTTAGTTAAAGAATATGCCTTAACTGATATTAGGGATCCTATTATAATTTCAGGTATATTAATTCCTCGATTAGGGATTTTTAGAAGGTCTGGGTCAGATTGAAGATGCATCAGCTCCGAGACGTCTGTGTGTATGGTTTCAGCTTAACAAGCCGGGGCTTGGTTCAGTTGAGAGACGAATGCTTGAGCTTGCAGGCTGAGGGCCCAAAGCTTCAACACGCAAACTTTATACCGTAAGTTGCATATCCCTTAGGTACGGCCCCCACTCAGTAAATAGTTGAATAATATTCATAATACAGATATACTAGGACCTTAATAGTAGCCCTATTATAGACTCTTACTGTATGGGGGCCGTACCCAACATATCCCTGATATTGCAGCTTCAGTTCGGGCTTCATAGCAAGACCCCCTCGCCTGAAGAGCAGACCACTTTCCAAGCTCTCAGACCCCAATCCCTACACGCTATAAATCCCTTTAATAATTTAAGGAACCCTCTAGCTCCCTTTAAGGAGCCCCAAAAAGGAACCGAACTTACTAAGTCCCACTCAGGTGAGTTTAGCCGAGCAGTCTTTGCGCGGCCCCGAGGAGCCCGGGCAGGGTGCCCAGATGGGGATGCCCTCGCGGCCCTAAACCCTAAACCTTAGGGTTTAGGGTCTAGGGTCTAGGCTCTTGGGAGCTATGCTTTCTTTTTGTTATAGAAAGCCCGAGGGATTATTCTCTTGGAGGATCATGGGACTTAGTAAGTAAGGTTATAAGTACCTTAATTGGGGTTATAAGTGGTTCCAAGAAAAGGTACCGTAATTATAACCCTAGTTACTAAGGCCCATGATCCTTTAAGTCGCGGCCTCGACACTGGCCATGTCAGTGCTCTTCAGGAGCTATGCTTTCTTCTTATTATAGAAACCCCAAGGGAATATTCATAAGATATTTGTTCTTATGTTTCGTAGTATAAAAGAAACTGCAGGGCATCATTCATAATGGTTCTAGGGGTGCTTGAAGACAATCAAAGACGCCTGAAGTTGATGAGGCTCCGATGCTAGAGCCTTCAGCCTCTCGGGGATTAAGGTTCCGGCTTTCTCGGAGGATCGTGGGACTTAGTAAGTAGGGTTATAAGTACCTTAAACTCGGTTATCAGTATAGTTACACTAATCATAGCCCTAGTTACTAAGTCCCATGATCCTTTAACTTGGGGTCACGGTTCTTAGTAGGCTTGAGCAAGAGTGCGAAACAGGGGCTTGAGAGGTCCAGGCTTCGTTTCGGATCTCGGGTTCGGGTCTCAGGTTTCGGGCTTAGGGTTTAGGGTTCAGGGCTTATAAGTTCAGGGTTTAGGGTTTACGGTTCCGTTCTTATAAGTTCAGGGTTTAGGGTTTAGGGTTCAGGTCTTATAAGTTCAGGGTTTAGGGTTTACGGTTCAGGTCTTATAAGTTCAGGGTTTAGGGTTTACGGTTCCGGTCTTATAAGTTCAGGGTTTAGGGTTTACGGTTCAGGGCTTGGGTTTAAGTCAAGAAGGCATGCTATAGCAGATGTGGCAACGACATGGATTTTGAAGTCATCTATAGGGTGCGCGCAGGCACGAATGCCACACGAACCTTAAACCTTGATCCCCAAAAAGAGAAGTGGTCAGGAAACTCGCCCTCAAGACGTAGGTTGGCAACTCCCATCAGCTTTGGTTTACTTCCGACACCCGCAACTCGGACCGTAAGCTGGACCCGCTTTGTTCACGGATGGATGTCTCAGCCCCACAACTCGAAATCCTGCTAAGACCCGACAACCGAAGCTCCAAAAAATTAAACCCAAACTGTACCAGGACCCCCCAATGGCCCTTTAATGGAGCCCTTATGGTCCTTAACAGTGTGTATTCAGGGCACATTGGACGGTAGTTGTGCGGTCTCAGTAAACCCAAACCCGAAAGCCTCAACCCTAAACCTTAAACCCTCAACCTTAAACCCTAAACCTTAAACCCTAAACCTTAAACCCTACATCCCGAAACCTCAATGTTAACCCAGGTCCTTCGGATGGCTTTACCAACTGGGTCCGCAGCTCAGGGGCGCCAGGCTCTTCCTTCCCTTAGGAGTCGCTAAAAAAAAGGGGCCTGAATAATTGCCGATACTATTGTGGAGGGGTTTCCTTAGTATAAGAAAAGCAGATTTTTTTTCAAGACCCTATGCTGTTTTATTGAGGCCCCTGCACTACAGTGTCCTCTTCTTACAGGCGTTGAGGTAGCTTGATACAGCCCTTCAGCCTCCACCCGAGCAGTTTGTGCACTTGCTTATACCTTAGGTATCATTCCTTCGGGGCTGTGTGAAGTACTCGAAACTCGATTCTAGTTACCTGGTTATTCAGGCTTGCTAGTCATCCGGCAGTTGAAAGCGGAGGGTTCTTCTCCGGTTCGCTGCTTAGGGTGGCACTGGGCAGTTACAAGGTTGCTATGCCAGGTCAGAAGTTTTCAGTCAATGCCTGAAGACAGACAGCTCGCTTACTTTATTCAGTGGGGGATCACTTGAAGTGGACACTCACCTGTGCCCAATACTGCGATATGCCGAACGTCTCCAGTCCTTCAGCCACCCTCAGCCTCAAGCCCGAACATCTAGTAGCATAGACGAGGAATTGTATACCATCATGGAAGAATGGAACCCTGAGGACGAGAATTGTCAGTTGTTCATGACCCGCCTTCCATGATAACTGGCCAAAACCCCAAAGCGTCATGTCAACATCGTGTTTGCCCCGCCACCCACCCTCCATCCCCAATACCTAAACCCTCGTCCGTGATCAATCCTCATACCTTCAACAACCCCCCTACATAATCCCGAAACCCCTAAACCCCTAAACCCCTAAACCCCCTACCCACAAAGCCTCTACAGAGTGTAGTGACCGATGGTTGGGCTTTGGTCACTGATATTCTATCTGAAGCCTAAACTCGACAGGCCTTCACGACAAAGCAACAGAAAAGCCAACCCACTCAGACGCCCTATCTTTCCTGCTTGCTCTCCCTCCCTCTCTCCCTCGTTCCATGTACATATGTATATATATATATATATATATATATACATATACACTTAAGTACATACATACGCATCTCTATATGTATGTATGTATACATACATACATACATAAATATATATATATATATATATATATATATAATATAGCTTAACACATATGTATATATATATATATAAATGTCGTTGTTACCTTATATGTTTGTTTACTCAAGCTACCATGATGGAATGGAGCGCCAAGAGACCAGCATTGCTTCGCATCAAGCACGCGCTGACCTTAAACCCGAAGTGCGTAAACCTCTAAACCCCTAAAACCAAACCCCGAACGCAACAGCTTTTGAACCCTTGAACCCAATTTCCGAACTCCTGCCAAACCCTAGACCGTAGTGCTTTTCAATTCCTGAAGCCTAAATCCCTAACCCTAAACCTCCCTAAACCCTAAACCCCTAAACCCCAAACCCTAAACCCCAAACTCTAAACCCCAAACCCTAAACCCCAAACCCCAAACCCTAAACTCTAAACCCCAAACCCTAAACCCCAAACCCCAAACCCTAAACCCAAACCCCGGACCGTCGAGGTGACAAGCTGCCAGGATTGTTCAGATCTCAGCTTGCAAGGGCTTGGATGGTTCTAGAAGGGTTTTCTAGGACCTAGAGTAGGCCCTTATTCCCTTTTTTAGGGTTCAGGTTCCCTTATAACCCCCTTTACCCCAAAAAGGGCACCCTTTTTATTCCTAGGTTACTTTTAGGTCTAGAAAAGGATTTTCTAGGGTATCATAACCCTAAGGCTCTAAGGACTCATATTATAAGGCTTTTGGGCCCAGAGACCATACCATGTAAGGCTTTTGGGCCATTTTGAGCCTGAGGGTACTTAAAGGATCATGGGACTTAGTAACTAGGGTTAGAATTAGGGTAACTGTACTTATAACTGCTTATAACCCCCATTAAGGTACTTATAACCTGACTTACTAAGTCCCATGATCCTCCAAGTAAGGGTAATCTGGGGGCTCTGCAGAGCATCTAAAGGGCTTCGTAGTTCGGGTCCTCTGGAGGCTCTGTAACGGTTTATAGGGCTTTAGGGGTTCCTTTAAAGGGATCCTTAAGGGGTTCCTTTAAAGGGATCTTTAGGGTTCCTTGAAAGGGGTAGGGTTTGGGGTTTAGGGTTAGGGGTTGCTTGGGGTTCTGTGAGGGCTTTGCAGGGGTTATGGCAAACGTTTTACAAGGTCTTTACAGGGCTTTATGAGGGTCAGTCGGAGCTGTAAACGGGCCTATGGGTCCTGACAAGGGCTTTAACCCTAAACGCCAAACCTTTGACCAGGGTTTCACGGGGCTTTTAGAGACTTTCATTTCAATATCTGGCTCCAGCAGTGCCACTGGATCCAAGTTTCCGGAACCACACTTCAGCACCCGACAGCGATGGATCATGTTGAGCCGAGACGCCAAGCCAAACCTTGACAGCCCTCAATTCCCAACCCCAACCCGTGGCATATCAAGGCACATCTGCAAGTATCGTCAAGAGCTGGGGGTCGCCATGGACGACGTGTGTTTGGGCACTGTGGTTGGCACCCTGCAGCTGGCGTGGTTGCATATTGTCATACTTTGGCTGGTGTCTAGGCCAGAGCTGGCCAACAAAGCATGTTAAGTTGCACGATGAATGTTCGCAGCTTCGCGGGAGGTTTTGTGGTGGCAGTCCCTTGATTTTCGTTGGTGTGCAGCTGTCGCTTTGGTCGGTGTGTTTCTGCACCGATGGAGCAGTGATCCGTTGCCTGGCACAGGCCGCAGTGACATCCTTGTGACATCTCGTAGCAGCTTCCCACTGGTGTTGGACGTCCTTGGTGTTCCGGGACTCCCTTCATTCATGACTTGCCATTCAGGTGTGCGACATGGTTTGTGGTACGCATGTTGCTGACACAGTCCCTGCGGCTGTGGCGCCTCCTACAAAGCACCCCACCCGACCATTGGAGACCTTCCGCAAACCTTCTACAAGGTTCCCCAGTAGTACCCTTTTGCCCTTTTGTGCTTGGGGTGTCCTCCGTCACACCCCCGTATCCTGAAGGAAGATGCTGGGGAATCCAGTCTAGCTAAGTGCAAGCGTTTTCTCAAATTCTGCCCTCCCATGACCCTCCCAGGGTCCCTGGTATGCTCTAGGAGTCGAAGTAGCGGGTATTTTTCGCTTGTCGTCCACAGAGCAGCTATAGTATAAGCTACACCACCCAAAAGCAGTCTAATTGCTGATGCCTCTATATTACATGGCTTAACAAAAAGGCAGTGGTTGCATGGTGGGCCCCAACCCCTGACTCCCCGATGCCCAGGCCCGATGTGCTGTCCGTCATGGTGGGCGCAGAGTCAGCAGCCCAGATCTGCGGTAGGACTCGGCCTTATGTCAAAAAGGGTTTAGGGGTGAGGGGTTTAGGGTTTAGGGTTTAGGGTTTAGGGGTGAGGTTTTGGTGGTTGAGGTGACCTCCAAGAGCTCTGCGACCAAAAAGCTATTGTACGGTATGTCTCGCATCTGTGCTGCGAACTTGCTATTCAGAATCCGTAAAACTTCAAGACTCGACCGTGAAACCCTGTAGACTTACACCTTCAAGTAGTCCCAAAACCCGAAACCCCTTCAAGACTAGACGATGCCCAGGACTCAAAACACCAGCCTAGCGCACCCGGCAACTCATGCCGATCCTGCGCAAGTGGCACTGTCCGAGCTTATTGAGCCTCGGCTGTAGGGTTTAGGGTTTCAGGGTTGGGGAGTAGCCCTAAACCCCATGCAAGCACTTTAGAGTTTAGGGGTTAGGAGTTGCCTCCTTAGCCTGCTTAGAAGTGACTGGTGCTTTCCCAGTCTTTTGAACCTCAGATGACTCAGTGGATCAAGGATCTAGGGAGTAATATCGGGGGCGGATGCAGTAGCAAAAGCCCTGTGCTCATTATTCCCTATCTATCCGAAACCCCACACTGTTATTGAGTCCGCAGGGTTCAAAACGTTCGAAGTACGAACGTTTATCAAGGCTGCTGTTCCCGTAGCACGTCAAAGTGGACAGGGTCTAGGGTTAAGGGTATAGGATGATTGCTGTGCGGGGCTAAGTTGAGGGATTACAGCATCGTGGATTCAGGCCACAGCGGCCGAGGCTTACAATTTTCGGTAGGTGGAGGGATGTTTAGGGCATCACGGGTGTATGTAGGCAAGGGCTTACGATCTTCAAGCGGTCTTGAAGAGCCTCATGTGGTCCGAAGTCTCAAATCGCAGCCAATCGAGAGCTTGAGGACCAGCAAAAGGCTAGCATCCGTAGAACAGAAATCTCATGGAAATTGCACCTTCGCGTTTTGACAGAAAAAGCTTTTGGAACCCTGAAACCCTAAGCCCTAAACCCTACAACCCTAAAACCTAAACCCTAAACCTTAAACCCCTAAGCCCTAACTCAAACCTCAACCCTATAACCCTAAGCCCTAAACCGTAAACCCAAAAAAACTGAAGCCCGAAGCTCTCGGCAGCAAAGGATGGGATGGAGACGCAGCTCTGAGAGCGTCTGGAGCCCAGTGGAATGGCCGGTTCTGCCTTGCTGTATAGGTTTCCGCCAAGGGATCTGCAGGGGTTTAGGGTTTAGGGGCTCAGGATTTGGGGGTCTATAGGTTGAGGTTTGAGGGTTTAGGGCTGAGGTTGAGGGTTCAGGGTTTAGGGTTTTAGGGTTTAGGGGTTTAGGGTTGAGGTTTGAGGGTTTAGGGTTCAAGGTTCATGGTGGAGGCTCGGGGACTAAAGGCATAGCAGGCATTCGTAGCACTTTTCCTAAATTTTCCATGAAAAACACTTGGAGGATCATGGGACCTAGTAAGCAAGGTTATGAGTACCTCAGTTGGGTTTATAAGTAGTTATAAGTATAGATACCCTAATTATAACCCTAGTTACTAGGTCCACCCTAGTTACTAGGTCCCATGATCCTTTAAGTAACCCTAAAATTCCTCTTCTAGAACGCTTATAGATCCCTTTTTAGGAACCCTTTGAGGAACCCTAGTTACTAAGTCCCATGATCCTTTAAGCAAGGTATCCCATGCATCAACATTGCCCACCAGCAGTCCAAAGGCGGTTGAGGTACCTGCCTCTCGGCTGGACTTAGCCCTAAACCCTAAACCCCTAAACCCCAAAGCCGTTATGCAAGGGGTCCTCTCTTCACCTCTGTGAGCCTCAGAAGCCCGACCCACCGGGATACCAAGAACGGACTCTTGGCTTTAATGCCGGAAGCTGATTAAGAAACTTTTGGTCTGTTTTGGGGGGTTCTTCGTATGAAACCGATTATTTTGGGGTCATAGGCCCAGGGTTTCTTAATCAGGTTCCTACATTAGGTCTTTAAAAGGGGGCTCTAGAGCTCGGGCTCATGCTTTCGGGTGATCAGTTTCGGCCGCGGCAGGCGGTTGATAACTTACCCGTAGGGAACTCCCTAAACCCTGTAAGCCCCAAACCCCAAACCTCTAAGAACTGTCACGAAAGGCGAAGACTAGACTGACTAGACAGTTGTGAAATACGACAGAAGCTTGGCTCTCTTGTGGTTGGCTCTCGAAACTTTTTGTTTGGATTTCGTCGTCAGCTATAAGATCGAGGCGAAAGGTTTAACTTTGAGCAGGGGGTCAGACGGTCAGCAGGGTGACACCAGCCAAGAAGGCGTACAACCATCCGGCCCTGAACCCTCAAACTTAACCTCAACCATAAGCCCTACTTACAGGTTCATGGGACTTGGTAACTAGGGTCATAATTAGGGTAACTATACTTTATACTTATCACCCTAACTAAGGTATGACCTTACTTACTAAGTCCCATGATCCTCCTCCAAGTAAACCTTGGAATACCATCCAGAACAAGAAACCCCAAACCTGCTGACACCGGCGCTCAAAATGGCACACCCAAATCCGAAAAGCCGTACGTGCTGCGCAATCATATGATTTCGGGGGTGACCCAAAAGGTTGAATCCCAAGTCCCAAACCCCAAACCCTAAACCTTATAATATAGGCGCCTGATTGATGAGAATGGGGTCTGAGGGGTAGGTTATACTATAATCATAATTAGAAACCCCCAAAACCATATTTTAAGTATAAAGGGCCCTACATCAAATCCTACACCACAGTGGGTTTTGAGGGGGCCTTCTCTTTGCCAGGCTCTTCGGAAAGGCGGAGGTGTGAAAGAGCTGTGTGGCTCTTTGAGCGCTCTTGATTGGAACTCCTTTTGCAGATCAGCCTAAACCCTAAACCCTAAACCCTACCCTAAACCCTAAACCCCGGACCCTACCCTAAAATCCGATGCCGATCGACTGGAGTTTGGGGTTTAGGGTTTCTTCGCATCCAATGACAACTGCGAGAGCAAAAGACCTGGTGAATCTTAAGGACTATAGCCCTAAACCGCAACCTGCTACAGCCCCTTGCGCAGTGGAAAGAAGCTGGTAACGACCAGGAGAGAGGTTCGAGCAAAAGCCTCCCTCTGAGAATACAAGCTGCTGTCATGCCCTGCCGTACGCCTAGTGGGTCAAAAGTTATGCAGCAAACTATGCCTACTCTGGGCTATTTTGAGCAGTGTAGGCAGCACTGTACAGAACGCTAGAAAATGGTACGTGCAAGACCTGTAACAAAGTCCTTAAATCCTGAACCGCCCACAGCATGGTAAATGCAGCATCAGACGGAAAGTATGTAACCTTCCATTCCTTATGAGTTATATAAGGAATATAGAAAGTTAAATTCTTAGTACCAAAAACCCTAAACCCCCTAAACCCCTCAACCCCTAAACATGCCAGCCATGAACTCGAACAGAGCCTAAACTAAACCCCAAACCCCAAAACCCAAGACCCCTAAACTGCACCCTAAACCCTACCTATAGTCTCCATTGTGGTTCCTTTGGGGGTTACATTTTGGGATCCTTAATATAAAATTGGTTAAACCAAAAAAAAGGAACTACAATGGAGACTATAGGTAAACTCGAAGCCATGATTGGAAACTGTGGGAGTGCCGATATCTCGGGCTAAAGCTGGTCACGCGCGATTTTTTGTGTCAGGGCTCGGGACGAGTAAAGGGCTCAGGGTGTAGATTCAGGGTTGAGGATTTAGAGCTTAGGACGTTAGGGTTTCGGACGTGAGGGTTTAGGATTTTAGGGTTTGGGTCTTAGGGTTTAGGGTCTAGTGGCAAGGGGAAAGGGTGTAGGATTTCGGGTGCACTGATTTAGAGCTTACGGTTATTGGATTCAATGAGGTACCCTCCACCCTAAGGGCGCAAGACATCTCCCTAAACCCTTAACCCTACTTAAAGGGTCATGGGACTTAGTAACTAGGGTTATAATTAGTGTAACTTATAACTACTTATAACCCCACTTAAGGTACTTCTAACCTTACCTACTAAGTCCCATGATCCTCCAAGTAAACCGCCATTCTTAGTAAAGGTTGGTCTTTGGGCCGGAATGCCTGGGCACATGAGTCCTGAGAGCCTTAACCCCCAGCTCTCCATCTTTTCAAGGTTTAAACAAGGACCAAATGACCTTTAAAAGTAGGGGCCCTGTGCCGGTATTATACTATGAATCCTTATATGGTATATGAACCTTAAACCGTTTTAGGGTTCATTTCGTCCTTATCTCGTCCTTAAGGAATCTTAAATCCTGAACCTGAGATCAGAACTGAGTATCCTTCCTAGGTATTCTCATTCCCACAACACAAGCAGCCAATCGGAACTTGAGGATCCCGTATAGACCCAAGAACGTAGTCTAAAGGACCCGTCGATGAGTAGTGTAATAGGGCTTAGAGGGGTTTAGGGTAAGAGTGCTAATATGTACCTTTAGTATATCCCGTTATATCCCCACATGGCTTCAAGTTCATTTCGCCAGGGTCCTCGGGTAAATGCGCGTGGGTTACACCGTAGCTATGGAAACGCGCGACACAGGCTGCCAATCAGAAGTTAGGCCACCGACATCTAGGTCTCCCAGTGGGCTCTATTTTCCTGGCGTAGGTTCAGTAGATTTTATAAAAACTTATCCATCACAAAGAAGGGAGCCGTTTTACTCCTAGGTTACTGGGGATCTCAGACCGACTGAGCACTCGCACAAAAACGTCGGAGCATGATGCGTGATCTGGCGTTTAAAGAGGTTGGCGAGTGAGGTGCCTGACTCAAACCCAAATCCCCCAAGTGTGAACTCTAAACCCTGGCCCCTAAAAGGTTTAGGGTTACCTGTAAAACCCTGAAACCTAAACCCTGAGACATTAACCCTGAAACCTAAACCCTGAGACATTAAGGGTTTAGAGCCGGAAGGGTTCCTCTAGGGGTTCTTTTACGAATTCCTTCGGTTCCTTTGGGCCCCACGACTCCAAGGTGTTTGGGCCCCCACTGAACCGCCTCTATGAGATTTTTGGGGCTATCTTGATCCTTAGGGTTTAAGGTTTAGGGTTTAAGGTTTAGGGTTTAGTGCCAGTTTGAGCCTTCGAGTGAGCCCTGCCAGTAGCCTCCAACCCTGCAAATATTTGCAAGGTTTATGGTTCGGGGTTTTGGGGTGTAGGATTCTGGATACCAGTAGGATTTTGGAACCACAGGTACCCTGTAAACAGTGACCCATGGATTAGAAGGGGCTCCCACCCTGTAATAGTGGTATAATAGGAATATATTAGGGCCCGAATATAATCCTATATAATCCTTGTAGTCACTATTGCAGGGTGGGGACAGCTCTATGGAGTTATCCCCCACCTCACCCTCGGCATGTCCTTCTCGGGGCCCATGCTGACCTCGCACAAGTTTCTTCGTGTCACCCGGAAATCCTCTGAGTCTGAGGAGGTTGCTCTGTAACTTGGGTCCCTTTAGTACATATCGTCATATCGATGACGACACAAGAACCCTAAACCTAAACCCTAACCCCTAAACCCTAAAGACCGGCCAGACATCAAAAGTCCGATACACTTAAAAAAAACCTAAAGACCTAAAACGATGAGGGATGCGGAGCCCTTCAGCCGAAAACCTCTGAGCTCTTCAAGCCCACACTCTAAGGACTGAATCCGAAACCTTGAAACTAAAACCCAACCCTAATCAATGCCAAATAGAGCCTTCTTTGTTCGGGCTTTATCATGATTCCCTTATATAGGCCCTCAGAAAGCTAGGTTTTTTTTTGGGGTGGGGCCTAAGCCCTAAACCCCAACCCAACCATCGACGGACCTGAGGGCAGAACAGCCCCTCTGCCTAGCCACACACGGCGTGCTCTTGGACTCGCTCTACCCTGCAATTCAGGCGTCAGAGGCTACCTGAGGATCCAAAGCCTACTGTTTTGAGGGTTACATCATCAGCCACTGTTTTGTGGTTTGTTAACGGGTCTAGTTGTGTTTTTAGTCTAGGGTTGTGGGGATCTGCGCTGTTACTGTCATCAGATTTGTCATAGATTCGTCCAAGATGCCCGCCGCCGAATGCACAGCTCCGTGTTGCCACACCAAATATCTACGAAGCGGGGCTGCTTGTCCCTCAAGCTTGCTTACCACACACTAGAACCCTAAACCCTAGACCCTAAGCCTTTAACCCC